TGAGAGAGAAGAAAAAAATAAGGGCAGATGGAAAACAGTGAAGGGAAGTGACAAAATCAGAGGTGAGAATTTTACTCTAGAAAAATAATAAGCTCTTGTAGCTCAGTTGGTTAGAGCACCCGTTTAGTAAGCGGGAGGTCTTGAGTTCGACTCTCAACAAGAGCATTTTATTTTTATTTATAATTTATAATATAATATGTGTCTTTATTACGATTAATCCTTTCGAGTCCAAAAAAGAAGACATTTTTTTTATTATTTTAATAATATATATTTTTCTCATATTAAAAACTTCATTCCAAAAAAAAAAAAAAAAGAAGGAAAGAAAGACATACAAGTTTCTCATCGGCCTTTCATCTAAACAAAAAACAAGATCCACATTCTTTTTCTTTGGAATAGTATATACTTTGATTTGATTAATTGACAATATAAATTAAATTTTCTTTTTACTAGGATCACTACACACTACCAGTAGTCATTGCACGAACACTCCCCACCCCTAAACCTGTGAAACCGATACGGGTCCCTCAGCACAATCTCCCTCCCCACCACACCGCTCACAAACTTGTACACGCTGTGGCAATCCCCACAAACCCGGAGGTTCTTGAAAATCCTCAGGGTCGACCCCTCTTTCGTGCTAATCAGCCCGTACGCGAGCGCCAGCCTCTCGCTGTGGGCCCACAAGCTGTCCTCCTTCTGCTCCTCGTCCGTATCATGCAGTTCAGAGCTCGTATTCGCAACATAACCCGCCTCCTTAATCTCTCTCCTCAGCTCCCTCAGTTTACTGTATATTCTCTCACACTCGACATGCGACTTGTCCCCTGCCCCGAACGTGCTCACTTGATCCTGCACGTTCAGCCAGCTGTACGCAGGCTTTTTCCTCACATTCACAGTTTCCATTTTCACCCTCACACCCAGCACGTCCTGCCACCTCCCGGAGCTCGCGCACACGTTAGAGTACAGCACGTAAGCTGAATCATCTGATGGGTTTGCTTCCAGAAGCTTCCGGGCAGCCTTTTTCCCGAGCTCTAAATTCCCGTGTGTCTTACACGAGGATAATAAAGTACGCCAGATGAAGTCGGTGGGTGAGACCGGCATTTCCTCAATAAAAACCTCAGCCTCAGAGAGCCTTCCCGAGCGGCTGAGCAAATCAACCATGCACACACAGTGCTCTACAGCTGGCGGGACTCCAAACTCGGTTTTCATCGAGCGGAAATACTCGAGGCCCTCGTCCACGAGCCCCCCGTGGCTGCACGCGGACAGGAGGGAGACAAACGTGACGTGGTCGGGCTTCAGCCCGTAGGCTGCCATCTCGTGGAAGGTTTCCTGGGCCTTCCGGAAGTTTCCATGCCTGGCCAGCGCGGATATCAGTATATTCCACGAGAGGCGAGAACGGGTTTTCGGCTCGGGAAGCAGTCTTAGAAGATCGTCGAGCTCGCCGCATTTTCCGTACATGTCCATGGCGGCACTCGAGACGAAATGATAATCGTGAAAACCGAGCTTGATTGATGCACAGTGAAGATGCTGCCCGTCCTCTAGAATGGCTAGGTTTGCTGAGGCCGAAAGTGCTGCCGAGAGGCTGAACTGATCGAAACCGACCTCAGCTCGTTGCATCTCGACCATGAGCCTTAAAGATTCCTCCCAATGACCGTTATGAGTGTTGGCAGCCACCATGGCACTCCAGGTGGCGGACGTTCGGTCGACCAACGAGTGGAATATAGAGTTACTAGAACCGAGGTCCCCACAATTGGCGTACATCGAGATAAGCGAGTTTTTGACATACTCGTCCGGTTCGAATCCAGCAAGCAACGCATGTGCGTGCAATGGTGTTCCGTAAGTTCGGAGGTTGCACGGGGTGCAACAAGATCCGAGCAAGTTTGTTAGGGTTATGTAGTTTGATGATACGCCACTTTCTCTCATTGAAATGAAAATTTTAACTGCCTCGTCAGCTTCTTCGTTTTCGGCATAACCACCAATCAGGGCATTCCAAGTAACTAACTCCTTTCCGTGCATACGTAGAAAAACCTTCTTAGCTACACACGTGGCCCCGCACTTCCCGTACATAGTGACCAGTGCATTCCCGACTACCGTATTTTGGTGGAGTCCGGACGTGACTGCAAGTGAGTGGATGATTTTACCCTCGGACAGAAATTTGGCATTAGCACAGGCAGACAGTGCGCTTGCAAAAGTAACGTAATTCGTAAAGTTTCCCATCCTGATTAATTCCCTGAACACCCGCAAGGCATCTAAGAACATGCCTCCCAAAACATAACCTGCCACCATGGAGTTCCAAGAGATCAAATCCTTCTGTGGTATGCTGTGAAACAATTTTTCTGAATCTTTATATCTGCCCGTCTCGAAATACATAGTTATAAGGGTATTTGAAAGACAGATATCTAAATCCAATCCCGTCTTGACTAGCAAGCCATGAATTCCTCTGCCCCAACTCAAATTATCAACAGCACCACTTGCAGACAGCAAAGTGGACAGTGTACTTTGATCTATTTTCCCATGATTGAGCCGCATCAAGTGAAAATATCTGAGCATCTCTAGCGAGAGGCAATTACGAGCGAGAGCAGCCAGAATTGAGTTCCAAGATATAGTATCACGTTCATCCATGCTATTAAATACATAGCGGGCCACTTCTATTCTACCGAAATCACCAAAAACGGATACGAGAGAATTCGCAACCGATACATCTGTCACGAGACCCGACATAGTAACGTGACCAAGCACTTGAAGGACCAAACACTCATCATCAAGGGCCCCACAAGAGCTAATAACCGTAGTAAAGGTGTTCTGATTACAACTCACCCCTTCACGCCTCATTCTCAGGTACAAGTCAACAACCTCATGGTACAATCCACCGTTTGCATAGTTAACCATCAAGGAGGTCCAAGAAACCACATTTTTTTCGGGCATATCCTCAAAGAGCACCCGGGCTTCGTGAATAAGCCCGTAACCCCCATAAAAATGCAAAAGTGAGGTCCCCACGTAAACATCATCTTGAATTAAACCGCTCTTCAAAAGTAGACTATGAATCTGAAGCCCTTCTAGGAGCATGCTCCCTGACTTGCTGAGTGCGGTCAGCAAGCTCGCGATATTATAACCGTTCAGTTCGAACCCTCGGGCCCACATCTCGAGAAACAGCTCGCAAGCATCAATATGCATTCCCGTCTTCACGTATCCAGAAATCATGTTGTTCCAAGAAGCCGCGTTTCTGTCGGGCATTCTATCAAACACCTTCTGGGCGTAGTCTATTTTTCCAAATCTCGAGTACATGTTTATCAATGTGTTTGTGTGAAAAATGCTCGAGAGATTCGAACACTTTGTGCACAGACCGTGCAGTGATTTTCCCATGGATTGTTTGGTGATCAGCGAAAATCCTTTCTGGAAAAAACCAGAAATTTCTGGGTAAGGACTGTTCGAGATGCATTGCTGAAGGTGGTTCTTTGGATCTTGTCTGCATTGGGAAAAGGGTAAATTTGATGGAGCAGAGGCTGAGAATTTGAAGGAGGACTCGAGCGTGATGGCGGGGAGCTTGTTCTTGCTGTGCTTAGCTAGCATAAATTTGTTTTGCAAAAATGGAGGGAGAAAAATGGTGGTTCAGGGTTGGGTGTAAAATTGTGGATGCAAAAATATAATGGTAACTCACAAATAGAATAAAGGTCGTGTTTGTATAAAAACTCAAAATGAGTTTTTTTTTTTTTATTATTAATTAGAGTTAATTTTGAAAAAAATAGTACGGATTAATTGTTAGTAAATTTTAATCTTATATTAAAATAATATTTAAAATAAAATAATTAAAATTAATTTGATGTAAAAGTATGAGAGGAATAGTGTGAAATAATGATTGTTTAAAATTAAGTGTGAGGATGAATAGTAAATTAAAGTTGATGTGATGTCTAATAATAATTGGCTGATATTATTTAATTATACAGACAATATTAAAGATAATGAATTTGAGTTAAATTTAGTTGAATTTTGAATGTGAATTATATTTTTTCATCTACAAACACATGTGAGAGTAAATGAGCATAAAAGCCAAGTATCCTAGCTACTTGTAAAATGGTTTAGTGCTTTCTTTCCACCCTAACATTTTACTTGAGGTGTCTCTACTCTACACACGACAATTGGTTCAAAATTCCATATTGAGCATAAGAGTGTACATTTAGAGTTTGTGAACATGTATATATTATACTCCCTCTTATTCATAATAAGTGTCGTTTTGAAAAGTTGCACAGTTACTAAGAATATTTTTGTTTCCAATAATAACCCTCATTAATGAGGATAGAAATGAATGTTTTGAGAAAAGATGAAGGGTGAATATGAAAAGACGTAGCATATTTATTAGCTAGATGAGGGTAATAATGGAAAAACATGTACAAAATATTCAAAACGACATTTATTTTGTTAATAGTAGATAATGCCAAAATGACATTTAAAAAGAATAGGAGGTAGTATTATATACTACTAAGAGTGTACATTAGAGTGTACATTAGAGTTTGTACTAATGCATCTAACAACTTTTCCTATTACAATGACTACTTATATATGTTGATATTAATTCACATGATTTTAACTATCCATCACCTCCAACTCTCTCAAACTTTTACAAAAAATATTTATTTTTATTTTAAACATTATTTTAATACAAACTCAAAATCTCACAAAACATATCTAAATTATTATTTTTTTTAAAATTAACCATGATTAAAAAAAATCCAAACAAAATATATCCATATGCATAATACACTCACGCCCCACATGTGCCACAATACAAAGGTTATGTTTGGTAAAACTAACTGATAATTGATAATCTAGTTTATAGCTTACCAGTAATTTTCAATCTTATAGCTTATAGTTTATGACTTGTACTGAAAAACTAGCTTATATGATAAAAGTGTTTGGTAATTGAAATAAAATTTTCAACGAGCTAATTTAAAAAATTATGTTAAGAAGTTTATGAGATAAACTCGAGTTTTTTTTTTAAAAAAACTAGTCTTAACAAATGGAGCTTGTTTAAATAAAAGTAAGTTTAAAATCGCCACAACATTGAGGCTTTGTTGCGAGTTCAGAACATGGCCGAATTGCAAAGTCATCACTGTACTCGACCGATCTGGATTTTATTTTAGGCCGAAAATATTTCACATAAATCAAACAAACCCCGTCTCGTGCTCCCGACATTATTTTTTGTAGACATGGCCAAACATGGGCCGGGTCACGGTCCGACCCAGCCCGACGGGCATCCAGACTAGAAACAAGGACTCGGACTTGGCACGAACCTATGCTCGTGGTCAACTAGGTCGGGCCCGTAGCGGGTCCAATTCGGATCGTCAATTTTTTGGGAAAAAGTATAGAATATTATTAAAAAAATTAAAAAAATGGGCCAATGGCCCGGTGGCCATGTCTTATTTTTCGTATTAGGGTTTATGATTTAGGGATTTTCACTCCCTCCCTGCATTTTTCAATTTCTTAGTAGGGCTGTTTCCACAGGCATTCTTTAAAGCATCAAAACTACGAG